CAATATCTTGAAAGTAAGCTTTCTTTTTCTGTTTTTCAACTAACGGGTCACATTGTCTTCTCGTGGTTAATGAGGAACATGCCTTTGAGTGGAGAGTTTCAGTGCTAATATGTCTAACGTCAGGATGAATCTATCTGTCTTTCTTTTGCAGGCGTTTGCAACCTCATTCGCTATTGTATTGAATTGCATTCTGGCATATTTTCTCTTCAACTTCCGACCGACGATGTTCTTCGTGGTCGGCGCGTGTTTCGTCATCGGAGCTGTATTTGTGTACAGTATCTACCCATATCGGTAAGTCGCCATTCCATTCTGCCGTGACTCCCAAGCAAGCAGTCAGACAGACAACCTCACTGTCAAGTAATGAAAATCAGCCGCTAATTTTGGAGATTCCTATTAACTGGTACGACCCTTTTTTTCATCGGCTATCATAAACGGATTCGGTGGTTCGTCAATCCCAGCCGACGAGGAAACCTGGGTGATGCTGTGCCTGGGTGTAGTGCGAGAGATCCACGCTTCGGCGCCGTCGCTTTGCAGTTCACTCATCACGTACGCGCCATTTGCACCAGCCCAATTGGATAACATGGACAAGCTGTAGCACGTTGACTACTTGTCAGTGCTCTCCTATTTTTATGCGTCTTTGCGACGTTTACCTCCTCCTCCTGCACGCAGGACACAGCACCGCGTTATACAAGGTTTAGGTTGAAGTATGACTCCCTGAAATCCCTCAAACTCTCTCCTCCTGTACCACCTCCTTTCACGGGGCGTATTCCCAAAATTTAGCATTTTGCCGTCGAGCCGAGCGTTGGGAGGAAGTTGTAAACTCCAAATAACGAAACCTACTATGAAAATTAAGTGATTGTATAAAAGTTCATCGGCGCTTAAGGAGGGATATACAGCGCAGTGAAACGGACAAGATCTCACAAACGAAATAATTTTTTCCGTAGCCAGAGAACATTTCCAACCTTCCCCAGCCCCCTCAAATACGTATCGAGCGAAAATTGACCCTTACTGGGATTCTGTCAGTAATGAGCGCCTAAAACGGAAAGTCGAAAATCAAAAAACCAAAAATAATTTTTTTAATATTACCTGATCCGTTTGCGATTGGTCTCGGAATAGCATGCTCTCTTATATTAGCCTCCCGAGATTGATATAGACGCTATAGTGTGCTCACGTTCCAGCGATCATCGCCTGCTTCGGAGCCTGCAAGTCGAACCTTAAAAAGTTTCCTCTACGGTGTTACTATTCGCCCCCCAGCGGCCGAATTACGACCCTCATTTCTAGCGTTTTCATAGCAGGGGCGGTGTCCCACCCGCACTACACCCACCCATCCCAATCCGCACGCACAAGCCACGACCCTAGCCTATGCACAATTCTCAGCAGCAAGATGTTGTTACCGTCTGTTCCATTTTCTTTTACTATATGGAAACGTTAGCCGTCTAATATCAAGGATGACTTTAGGGTTCGTCGTGAGCCTCAACCAACTTCCGAGGAGATGGCATCATTGAAGGAGAGCAACGAAAAGGAGGCAGTTTAGTCTAGGTTGGAGCGTACATAATTAAGCCATCCAGTTCTTCATTCG